ATCGTAATGGTAATATATCGTATTGAAGTATGAATAATATATTTCAAAGGTAATATATTATTTTATAATATGACAAATATCTTTTTTGTTAATATTATTCACAAGAAGAACTTCCTTTCTTCGGGTCACTGATTTTGCCGAACTTTTGTAGAAATATAATATTGTTATAGAATTAACAAACGTTTTTCGGAGATTATGCAACTCTCAACCGTTTATGAGAAATTGCGGTTTGAAATTTAACAAGCTCTCTTAGTTCCATTGTAGTAGAACACGGATCGAGCAGCGGACTAGGCGCCACATTATAAATCTGCACGTTAGGTGTTCCGAGCTGGTTTGAACCCAATTCGGTTTAGTTTTTTTTTTAAGTTTTTTATTGGTGCGAATAAAAATATGTAATATATAAAATAATACGCAGACAAATCCTTTATACAATCGAACATTTTTATTATAATAATGACTGTGATATATTACATTAATATTACTGTGATGCATTTTCGCGGACATTGTAATATTACTGGGATATCTCAGTAATATTACAGTAATATTTCTGCTACATTTCATTGTAATATTGCAATGGAACTGTAATATTACTGTGGTATTACTGTAATATTACGTGCTATGTGGGATATGAATATATCTAGTTCATAAAGTTTTGTTATCATAATACTATTAGATGAGATATTTTTCTGATCATCATCACGAACGACATGTGAGCATTATATGCGTACGCATTTGTACAATCATGCACGTCAATATATGAATGCGTGTTAAGCGCAACATGACATCATTTTTCTATCTGGAATGTTATATTTCTGTTACATAGCTGCAATATCGTTTGAGTGGGAAATTACAATTAACGTCCCAGTGAAAAAATTTTTATATATAATTATATAAAAGTATATAAAATCATATAAAATTATATATAATTATACATAATTATATATTATTATGTATCAAATTTGACCATTCATGTTCATACATTCTACTTATATATATAATTATGTATAATTATATATATATAAATTCATATATAATTTTACATAATTACGCATAGATTTATATGTAATTATACATATTGTTATACATAATTGTGTATAATTATATATAAATTTATATGATTATATATAATTATACATAATTATGTATGAACAAATTTCATACATAATTTTGCATGAAAAACTTTTTATCAGGGTATATGTTACATGTAACAAACATGTTATATTGCACGTTACATTCTGTTATATTACGACGATGTTATATTATTGTGTTTGATGGGTTTCATTAGTCATACATTTTTTTAGTATATTTCTAATTCACGCACTGTTCGTATGCGCCTGTGGCTACGGAACATATACATGTCGTTGTTTGTAGTCAGTGTGAGTTTTCCTAACCTTAACAGTGATCGATTTTGTTAATTAATATCTCGTTTTTCAGTAGAGAGCGACAATTTTTCCAAATAGAAAAGTTATTTACCTTTAAAAAACGCATCAATTGTGTATTTTTTTTCGTCAAAATCGGAGATAATATGTGTAAACTGAATTATTACCACATATGCTTCTAAATTCGTATAAGAGCATAAGAGATTAACAGAATTATGAAAATGTGATGCATTTTTTTTCACTTACCAGCACGGTACCGATTAAGCGTGAATTGAAATGTACTTGAGCTGTCAACTTTATGCGTAGTACTAACTGTTTCTTCTATTACAGGTATCTGTTATTCATCTAATAATGGTTGCATAACTCAGACAGAAAAATGACGTCATGTTGCGCACAGCATGCACTCATATATTGACGTGCATGATTACAAAAATGCATACAAATGCGTGCGCATATGCTGCTCATATGTCGTTCATATAATGATGATCAGAAAAATACCTCATCTAGTAGTATTATGATGTCAAAACTTGATGAACTAGACATATTCGTATATCATTTATGTATATTTTGTGCTCATATCACGTTAATCACGTAATGATCTTTAAAAAGATATCAAGGTGAGATCACAGTATGACATCACATGATGAAACGTGATCATCATGCATTTCTATCTGGGACTTTATCACTACTACTCAACTTCAACGGGAGCGTCCCGATTGACCACGGTACGATTGGACACAACCAACCGATGAAAAGAATTATCTAGTGAATTACTATGTCAAACCAATCATTACAATTTGTGTCCAATCGTATCGTGGTCAATCGGGTCCCACCCAACTTCAACACGTTCAATCGAAATTTAAAGAAAAAATTACTTTAATAGCGAATTCGGTAGCTTGCACTAATGCGCACTGAGTGCGCATTAAGGCTTGTTTACAGTACATTCTTATATTTAAGATCGTGTCTTAAATACATATTTAAAAACATTTTAACTAATAAAATGATTCGTACGGATGTTATACATATCATATTATGGTTAAAAATATTTGAGAATTTATTTGAGAATTATTTAAGACAATTTTTAAATATAATAACATACTATGAACAAGCCTTAGTGTGCACTCAGTGCACACTAGTGCAAGCAACCGAATTCGCTATAAGAGAAGCTACAATGGTATCCCTATAATATAGAGAAATAGACCTATTCTTTGTAGCTGTACTGCTGAACTAGTGCAACATGTTAGAGTGAGAAAACATATATTTGTTTCACTTCAATATACAGGGTGAATATTATATACCGGAACACCTGAATATCTCGAAAACAAAGCGTTGTATAAAAAAATGTTAAATACAAAAGTTGTAGGGTTTAAAAAGATCTATTTTATGATATTAGCAGTTTGACCTTGAGTTGCGTCATAAAGATCAGGTCAAGGTCACAATGATGTTTTTAAATGGATACCCCCATTTTTTATTGTATATTCTTGTAGCTTATCTCGAGAGCTTTCCAAAACACTATACTTAAGTATTTTTTCGTTAAGTACTTTTCGAGTTAAGAGGCTTCAAAGTTACGCTCTTTAGCATTAGCGCGCGTGGATACCGTAGTGACGAGCACGAACGCGCGCTCGTATTAATAGTAAATAGCGTAAGGCTGATGGCCTAAAAAACGTAAACGCAAGGGCAGCTCTCGTTT